CATTTTTTTTATTAAGTAACAATATATCACATACTTATTATTAAATTTTCAATTAATTCATTTTTTATCTCCAAACAAATGTAAACTATATAGTTTATAGTATATGCTGCAGCAAATCCTGTGGCATATTTTATACGTTGAACAAAGTACAATTCTTATTATTTTTTAACACTAAAAAAATTCACGCCATTAAAAATTACGATATAAGAAATATTTCCTCGCCATTAGACAAAATATTATAGCAAGTTACGTGAATGCTAGATGTAATAATCAAATATTGTAACTATACCATTAAAAACTTAGATCTTGAACAGAATTATTCTAACAATCAAGGAAATCCTAACTTGAATTATAAGAAATTAATGTAAAAAAATTATAGACATCTGAGTCAACCAGTCTATTAACAGCAAATAATAGTTTCCATTTCCACACAAATAATGCATAAATGAAAATCATGATTAGACATGGGAACTCTTGCATTCCAGAAACAAGAAACAGGCTAAAACAAAACAATGAAGGGTAATGTCATTACTCAAGGCTGGCTGCATGCTTTAATTTACAGTGGGATTTTTTGAGGGATGACTCACCAAAATGAAGATTCAATTCTCCTGCATTTAAATTATCTGCTTATGCCATATTCTTTGGTGATTGAAATCTGGTGGTTCCAGAAAGCTTATTTGACTATCTTCATTCCGAGGTTGACTTCTCTCCCACCAACGACTCTTGATAGTGCAAGGCACATCAATGGAATGTGGATCCTCGATTAGGCTTTCCCAAAAGAGGAAAGACGATGTGGAAGCACCCAGATAGGAATCAACACGTTCATTGCAAAACTTGTTCATGTGTTCGTCATACTCATGTTCATTTTCTTCCAAGATGGGAAGCATCCTATATGGGGAATGATGCTGAGTTGCTTCAAAACGATTTGTTGAAACATGTCTAGGAGTTGCATAACGAGGTTGGTAAATGTAGTACCAATCTAGAAGATAGGGATTATTGTCTCGACTGCTGGATTCAGTTACCAACAATGAACCCAAGTGATTGCCGGTCACAAAAGTACCATGTGACATTTCCCTGGATGTAAAACTGTTTCTGTCTGTATAGCTTCTCATGTTAGTGTGATCTCTCCATGGTTTGAGGGGAACAAATCCATGTCTTTTTACATGGTCTGCTAATTTTTTGTCTCTGAATGTTCTCAGATTTTGTAGAAACTGCTTTCCTTTAGCATTTGGTTCCCAAAAAGGTTAACTACAATGGAAGCTGCAATGATAACAAATGTTAAACAAAACTTTTAAGCCTCCAGAGAGGACTAATGATACACCAGCAAACTACCTTACTCTCTTTCTTATCCTTTGTTGAACGACTTTGGGGGCACTTCGAAAGTCTTTCCACCATTTCTAAGTGCTTCTTCTGTTTCTCTGTTTTGTCTTCCATGGAAGATGATTGTTCCTGTTTCTAGGATTCCTCAAACTCAATTCATAGTATATTCATGATATTCAAATTCATGCTTATTTTTCAGAGAAGATCGGGCACGGAGGTTTTGGGACTCTGTTTCAGGGGGAGTTGAGTGATGCTTCGGTTGTGGCTCTGAAGAGGTTGGAGAGGACATGGAATGGGGAGAAGGAGTTCAGGGCGGAGGTCTCCACGACGGGAATATTCAACACACGTGAATCTTGTGCGGCTCGGGGAGAGTTTTACCAAGTTTTTAATTTTAAAACTATCTGATCATTCAGTCACATTAATTAAAGTTAAGCGTGTCAGGTAAACCAGAGATTGACGCTGTTGGGCTCAATTTAACGACAGGGATCGAATTATTATAATTTAAAAAAAATATGACTCAATTGAGACACTCAGAAAGAAAAGGACCAAATTGAGATTATGTCTAAAAATAGGGACTTTCTAAATGATTAAACTTTTTTTTTCAATTGTTTATTTTTTTTTCAAATATTTTTTTTTCAATTGTTTATAACCAACAAATATTTTTGTGGTTGGGAGTTAGGAAAATGGTTGGAGGTTAAAAAAATTAAATTCATTAATTATTATTTTGACTTTTTATTAAATGAAGGACAAACAGGTAAATTTGAGGTGCAGGATGAGGTGAGAGAGGTGTAGGAAGATTCACTCTCTATTTCGTCCTACACCTCCAATCTTTGTTTAATTTCCATCTTTGTCCTTGTGAGTCTCTGTCAGAAGAATCTTTAATGAACACACACAAAATTCCTACACCTCCTACGCATTTCAATTTCCTTTCTCAACGCACTTCATTTTCTTTCTCACAGCACTTCACTTTATTTCTCGCTGCACTTTACTGCATCACTCTTTGCTTCTCTTATGGCTGGAGCACTTCACTCCTTCAAACTTTTTATTTACTTTTGTTGCAATTTTTTTCTAATTCTTTATTAAGTTGTAATTGTTTGAATTATTTATTAATTATTTCAATATTTTTTATTACGTAATTATTTATTGTTTTTTTTGTTTGTTATTATATTTTTAATACAAAAAATCAACTACTAAAAAAATTACGTTTACAAAATTAACTAATAAATCATAAATAAAAAAAATATTACAAACAAAATAATAAAAAATAAAAACATATTTATTAACAAATAAATATCACAATTTAAATAAACAAATAAAAAAACATAAAAGTATTAAACAAATAAATAAAACATCATGATATATATCAAAAATAAGTTAACTAAAACTAAATCGTATTAAAAAAATATAATAACTCAAAAACATATAACATGCACAATTGGAAGTGCGCTAAAAATAATGGCGGAAGTTTGAAGTGCGTCAAACATTAATCGAACTTTGAAATTTGGTTGAGGTCTATCGAACTTCAAAGTGCGGCAAGACCTAACCGGTGTTCAGACGTCGGTGTTTCCTTAATTGTAGTTTCAACATTGATTAAAGGTATTTACTATTGTGAAAAATAATCTCGAACGTACTTTTTTCACCCTCTTTCTTCATCTTTTTCTTTCACGAACCACACTACACACACAACCTTTACTAATATCCATATCACAATGATCATCAGTGTATCATTACGACACTTCAGAAGACAAGCTCTCACGAAGAACAATTCTCCCAAACAATAACTCAACAGTGAAATAATCAACACAGTGATACATATACAAGGTTTATAATAACAGCTGACAAAAATGAAAATAAATGAAAGATAAATAAGTCTAATTAGAGGTACACGACGAAATGGACGAGGTACACAAAGAACCACTCGTCATATTCTAACTTAGTATATTAAAAGATTATTAATTTTATTATAACATGCACTAAGAATACATCAAGCGTTTGTAGTCCAACGGTTAGGATAATTGCCTTCCAAGCAATAGACCCGGGTTCGACTCCCGGCAAACGCATTTTTATTTTTAATTACTTTCGGTTTTCAGGATGCAAATAGTTTCATCTGATTTTTTTATATGCTTGTAAGTAAAAAATCTATCAAATGTCACATTAATAGATATTTTTTTCTTCATATTTTCTACTTATTTTAAAAATTTGAAAATAAAATTTCTTGTGAATATTTTTGACCTAAATTTAATATTTATCGTAAGTAAATATTTATAGTATAAATTCCTAAGTTGATAGCGTAGACACGTCATGTTGAAAGTTACACTTGACAAAAAGTTTTACTTACACAATTTCTACATATTACGAATTTTGCGCAAAGCAACAATGATTTCTAAATTAAGAAAACGTTTCCCCAAATTTTATGGTTAAGTTTAAATTCGCATAAAAATAAAAATTATATAAAAGCAACAAAAATTTTAAATGTTCATGTCAATTTTAAATTTACAGGAAAACTATATCCCAAATTTCTTAATTTAAAAATTTCACAAGAAATTATCTTTTAAATATTAAAATAGATAGAAAACATACTGCAAATTTTAAGTTCAGAAAAAAAACCATTAAAATATTATTTTTGAATTGTTATTTATAAGAGAATTGACACTAAATTGTTATTTATCTCTAACTGAAAATCTGAGTTTTTCTGTGTTTCTACGTACTCAAACTCTCTTTTTTCGTTCATTCACAATATAATAATCTCTCTGAGAAATTAACCTCTAGGATGAGAAGCAAATTTTTGTTTTGTTTTCAACTCTTGAGTTTCATTGAGCGAGGGAACATAGTTGCATGCTTGGTGCTGAGCGAGTGAACTGTGGCTGAACGAAAAGGTTCTAAGAGACAGTCCTTAAATCTTCTTTAAATGTTATTTTCTTTACACAATAATATAAAAAAAAACCACAATATAAAAAGGAACAGAAAAAATTACATCATCTAAAAAAACACATAATACATGAACAAATAAAAAGGAGATAAAAAATAAACATAAATAATAAAAACTTATCACACTTCTCAGTATCCCTTACTCAGTCTCTACGTTTCTGCGTGTATGGAGTCAGAAGAAGATGGAGAGAAAAAGAAAAATTAAAGAGGTAGAGAAGATGGTATGTGTAATGAAGGAGGCTATGAACGTGAGTGAGTGACAATGAAAGAGAAGAATGGATGAAAATTGAACAGAGTACATGGATGCTTGTTTGATGAGAAATAAAGAGATTTAAAGAAAAAATATAGAAAAAAATGTGGAAGCAAAGATATCAAGATAATAACGGAATTGCGCTAAAATTGGTATGAGAACAAAGGAAAGGAAAAATTAAAAATTATGTGAAAAGTATATGTATCATTTATAAAAGAAAAATGATGTTAATATATATTTTCCAGTTCAGAAATGGTTTGGCAAGTTATCTTATGGTACTACTGAACCAATAAATGAATGGTGTTAATATCTTTTATTTTATTTATCAGTTGTCACTGTCTAAGCCTACGTATGGCTCTGACAAAGGGGCAGGGATTTAATAAAATAATTAAGACACTTTCAATTTCCAAGCACCCACGCACTCCTTCATCAAAAGTCTTCAGAGTTATCTCAAGAAACTTACAGTCATTGTTTAATGGCAGCATTCCGCACTAACAAGGAACCTTCTCCCATTTACTATTCTACTTTTATACTTTTCATGTTATAACAGTTGAAGTTAGCCTTCTAAACAAGCCAATCATCTTCGCCTTCAATAATTCCTTTTCCTATAAATATACGCAACAGCCGGAACCTAGTAATCGACCATTCCACTCCAAAAAATATTCAGAATCCTTTCTCGATCTAAATGGGTTTGGCAGGATTTTTAAGAAAACTTCAAGATTTTTATGCTGCTCATAAAGCCATATTCACTATTTTCGTATGTTTCTGGGACGCACCTTTCTCCTTCTTCTACTGCTTCTCTGTCACGAGGTATTTATCCAATGTTTTTCTCACAAATAGTGAAGACCTGAGCAGCTTTGCAGATGCAACCTTCCAGTATGTTTCATTTGTTGCACAAGTTGAATGTTTTGCCGTTCTGGGCATATCTATGTTTTCCTTGCAAATGCCTATTTTACACCTCTTAGCCTCTAAGAAGAGAGTGGATTCAGAAGCGGAGTTGAGCATCACAAGCCTGATATCTATAGTCACTAAACCCGCGAGAAGCTTACTTGCTACGTGGTTCTTGGTAAGGCTAATTAAATTGGGTTTTATATTCTTCGGAATGTTAGTTTTGCATCAGCGCATGGCTTTGATTATAGATTCTAGTTGTGAGCAGCAACATGAACTGAGTGAAATCTTAGCCAGCAACGTTGGTACAATGATTTTGGTTGCAGTAGGTATCTTAATGTTCTCGTATGTGGGCACTTTTGGGAACTTGGCAATTGCTATATCGGTTCTTGAAGAGATTAGTGGATTTAAGGCATTGAAGGCTTCAGAGGTATTAAAGGGAAAGAAGAAAGTTATTGGATTTGTGATGAATGCGGTGCTGGGAGTTATATCTGTAGGGTTGTTTTTAGGGTATTTGTATTTGAAGACATGCTCCAAAGTGTCGGTGGAGTCTAAGAAGTTCATGCTGAGCATATGGAATAATGGTATATATCAGGTTGAGTTTTACACGTGGGGACTCTTCTCAATATTGCACTCGGTATCTCGCGGGAATAAGGTTGAACCCCTGGGAAGCTTTAAACACATTCTGATGAAGGAGGAAGAGAAGGTGCCATTGGTTTAAGAAAGAAACTACGATTCCAATTGTAACTTGTTAAAACATGATGATAAATTTTAAGTATTTATTTTGTAATTATTTATATTTTTATAATAGTATAGTTGTGGCTTATATTATCCATAAATTAACTTGATTGAGTCTCAAATAAGAACGAGACTGATGTGTATCTCTAAGAATTCCATATTTAAACGATTAACAAAGGAAAAAAAGTATTTAACAGATAAAATAAAGTTCGGAGAGCTACAACATGGACTCACGGTTCCATTTTGGTCGGTCCCGCACGAGAAAGAAATATGAAGTAATTTTCTTTCCATCTTTCTTAACCGGTTTGTCGATCAGTTTGCAAAAGAATGATTTTGTTTTATAATTTTTTTTCTTTTAATTATAACATGGAAAACAATATGACGTAAGATTTTAATAATTTCATTTTTATTTGATTAAATTTTTATAAGTTTATTTATTAAAACAAATAATATTCAAAATTTTATAATTTTTAGTATAAATTTGTTAAAATATCATTATAAAAGTTTAGAAAATGTGTTTTAAAATTCACAATATATTTAAAAGGATGAGAATTTATTATTTTAATGTGAAAAATCTAAAGTTTAAATAAAGTTATTATAAATAAGTTTCAATATAAAAAAATGTTTTTTTTTTCTAAAAAAAGTCTAGAATTTTTTTATTCTCTAAATTATTTTTAAGATATCTTATGATCAGTTATTTTTTTTTAAGATAAGAGACCATAAGATTGGTGGTGAGCTCATTAAAATCAATCCATCAATTTCAAGGAAAAATTCCATATGTTGTGATGTGTAGTGTATGTTGTAACACATGAGAGTTTAGAAAGTAGGTATTTTGTATTCCACCAAAAGTTAAACTTATATAGAGAGGAAATGTGTGTGTGTAGGGGAGGGGAAGAGAGAATTGTAGAAGGTCTTAGCTATTAAACTATTTGGACCTAGGCGTGGAGGAAACTAGCCTTGCAAGTAGTAAGATGATAACCCCAAAATGTTTCGGCAGGATTTAGATCCTTAATCCAAAATATTCAAAGTTGTTCGTTCCATCATCCAGTTGCGTTGTTTTTTCTCTTCTCCTTGTCCAAGCTGCGGGGGAGGGTGCCTGCAAAATCTTATAAAGTCAATGACTTTGCGTAATAATCTTATAATCAAGATTAGTTATCATGGTTCAAAGTTAGCTGTCCCCTTGGTCACACATATATTTATAAATTATAATGAGCTTACCGTTAGGTTTGACTCATGAATCACCAATAAATGATATTATTAATTGTCAATAAATGACAATTATTTTCATTAACTCCCTGACAGTTATTATTATTGATTACCTTAACGACTATTTTTACGGTTAACTGTTTGTCCACTCAGTTCATTTACCTGAGAGGTGTCATCGGTCGGCCATGAGCCCCAAAATAACTTAGAGGCTCTCTTGCACCTTTACCGTTCGGTCGACTATAAGCCCATAGGTTACCTTTATTTATGGCTTTGTAAAGAATAAATACTTTTATTAGTGCACACCTATAGTGAAATCCTATGTTAAAAGCATGTATCTAGATAATTGAGTATAGTGTTAAGTGTCTTTTTTCATTTATATGTTGTTGTGTTTTTGCAATGATTATAGTGAAATCCTATGTTAAAAGCATGTATCTAGATAATTGAGTATAGTGAGACATTTCTTTTTTCATTTATATGTTGTTGTGTTTTTGCAATGATTATATTTCGGTGTGAGGTGATAGTAAGTTGGATGCTGACATGTCTTTGGTGAAAGATAATAACGCGAAAACATAGTTATATAACTTTATTTAATTGTTATGTACATGGATTTTTTTCCTTTGAACAACTCGTATAGTTTTCAGTTGTTGTGTACATATATACTATGTTATTTTATATGATTTATGTCAGTAGGTCATGTATTATCAAAATTTATAATATTTTATTTAGTAATTTATATTATTAAATGTGATATTACAATCATAGTAATTGTATATAATTAGAATAACAAGAAAAACTAAACTTTAAGTAACTAAATTATCAAACACAATTAAAAGTTAGTGAAATATTTTCTCAAAATTAAACTTAATTAATATCAAATCAATATACTGTTTATGGATATATATATATATATATATATATATATATCATAAATTATATTTGGAAATAAATCCATGGTTTTCTTTACCAAAGTGGTGTGCTTTTTGTACACAATTTACCATAATGGATAGTTTTAAAAAAAATTACATCGTCTAAGATAAGTTAGACCCAAGTTACATAACTTCAACTTCTATTTTACTGCCATCTTAGACCCAAAACACGATTTTGAATTTGAATGTAGAAAATTAAAAGTTGTGTGTAGGAAGTACGCCTTCATTACTAAAGTCGTGGGCTGAGCCCATAATTTTCAATTTTTCTTTTGAAATTAATAGTCTGTGCAATAGAATTTTTGAAGTGGGCAACTAAAACCATGCGCTGGAGATACGACTACAAATTTAATTTTTGATGTACTAAAATAGTGCTTTTAGCTAACAATCTTCATTATAGAATTTTTCTTTTAAAGTTGTCGTGTTCGTTTTATGTGTTGTTTTTTTCTTTGCAATGGTTTAAGAATTAAAGTGTTTAATAGTAGAATAAATTTTGCTTAAGAAATAATATCTTTTTCTATTTTAGTTGAAATTGTCTGAAGATCGGTCGTTCTTTCTTACTTTGCTCTTTTTCGATCATCCAATCCTCTCAAGAATGCAATCCACTCTGATAGGTTGTTGACCTGAAACTCCGACGCTCAAGTCACTTTCATAAAAATGTCACTATTTTATTGGGATAGTAAACCAACTGTATATTTATAGAACTTGTGGTAACCAAATCCATTGATTAACCATTAGTGCATTATATTTTTGGACAATATAACCTGCCAATAACTCATAAATACGGTATATTCATCCTTAATATGATCATTAATTAGTATTAATTAGTCATTAATGATATCTATCTTGCATATTAAAATATTTTAGTATCTAGGTAGAAATTGTTTATTATGGTATGTGGGATAATTTTTTAAAAATAATTCGACATATTGTTTGTTAGTTTAGTAAATAATTATAAATTTATTTAAAAATTAATATTATATAGTTTAGAAAAAATCCGTCCTCGTTAACAATGTCATCAACGCGAACACATTGTAAGTTTATACTTTGGTGAGATATTTTATTTCTAATTAATTACACGTGGTTATAAAAAAATGTTACTGTCACATTTATATCATTCACAAAACTATTATAAATAAATTGAAGTTATTTTATAATAATTTTATCCCAAATGTTTTAAAATTTAACTTATGTATATATCAAAGTTAACTTGATAATACTTAACTCTTTCTTGTAGACGTACGGACTCACTCGGCGTATAGATACTCTCCATTAAGTCTTTTAATTTTACCAGATACGGTTGTGAACACATACTCACCTGTGTTTGCATTGTTGAGTGAAGGTTGGGATAACTTAATATCGACAATTTAATATTTGACAATGTTGACTGAAAATGTTCACATGCTGGGTCACTGGTCCAGTGTCGTTTATACATCCATCTTCTTTTCCCTATATATATATATATATATATATATATATATATATATATGTGTATATTTT